ATAAGCTTGGTTCTCTCACAAGATCACTAGGGCTGTGGCTGTGGCTGGACATCCCACTGCTCATCTACATACATATCGATAAAAAGTAAGCTAACACCCAGTGAATAATACCAGAATAAAGGGGTTAATGAATGATTTTCACATTTAAATTAATACATATGGAACGTAATTCCCATTCATAACGTAGCTAAGCAAATCATAACGCAACGACATCGAGTCCAATCCATTATACTTAGAACATGTCGAAAGGACAAAACAACCTTTGGGTCCAAACATTTTTCATAACTGATCATAATATATGTACTAAACAACCTCGGGTCCAACATTTCCATATTCTTGTTCATGCGCATATTCAAATTCCAAATCATGTTCACATTTAACGGATCCATACACAAATGACCATCCAGTCCTTCACATTACATATACAAAACGACCTTAGGTTCATCATTTCCAAATTCATATTCACGCGTGCATTTATAATCATGATCATGTTCACATTCGTATTCATATTCAAAATGACCTTTGGTCTAATCAATTCCTTGTTCAAAATGACCTTTGGTTCATTTAACAATCATACAAAACGACCTTTGGTCCAATTCATATGTAGGATGACCTTAGGTCTATCTTGTCAAATATTCTAAACAGCCTTAGGTCCATTCTGTGTCCTTGTCAAATATACCATACGACCTTGGGCTCATTTCATATTCTCGTCAAACATACTGAACAACCTTAGGCCCATTGTGTATTCATACAAAACGACCTTTGGTCCAATCTTATAATTTCGTTCTTATGAATCACGTTTCAAGTCTTTTACGAATCAGACAGGTAATACTCATTCATAATACAAATTCACGAGTTCGAAAAACTTACGACATAAGTAGTATTTAGAAAATAACATACATAAAAATATCTTTACTAAGATATTACTCACAATGTTCAGTTGGTTAATTCGTCCTCAGAATTTACCCTGCACAATTCATAACACATACAGAAATTAGGTCACAATACAATTCAATCTGTTCCTTAATTCATTTATCTTTTTTAGGCTTCTTTTTAACTCTTTAATTCTTTTAGGATGCTTAATTTGTGCCTAAGAATGCTCAGAAATGAAAAAGAACGGAAATCAGAACATAATACAACTTTTCAAAGGTTCTTGAAACAGGGTACTTCGCTCGAGCGAACCCTTCAGTTTGCAAAAGTACTGGATGCTCTCATTTTACGCTCGAGCTAACTTCTTGGTTGCTTGAGCCAAGTCTTAAAATAAAGGGTGGTCGCTCAAGCCAACCCCCAATGTTTGTAAAACTACTGGGAGCTCGAAATGTATGCTCGAGCGACAATTCCATCACTCGAGCGAACTGCTCGAATTCTGGAATTTCTAGAATGTTGTTTTGAGTTTCAAACAGACATTCAAGGTTTCAAATTCGTGCATGACTCTCTCAAGCATGCAAGAACACTCCTAAATACATATATTTGAAGTTGGATTCAACCCATTGTTCAAAATTCCATGAATTCATCAAAATTTAAACCATAAACTTCATGTATGTGAACCATTTTTCAAATCTTGCATCTATAAACTTTTAAACTTAGAATTGGACTCTAAAACATGATAGTTCATGCATGCATGTAAGATATAATTTCCAATTCATCATAATTTACAAGGTTTATGCTCAAAATTGAATAATCAAAACAAATTCATGCATGCATGTCCAAATTAATCACAATTCCTACAATCTTTGCTCCATTCACATACTTAACTACACATTCTTCTTGAAGTCACATTTATATGACTTAAGTTCATGAATTTAGAGTTCAATCACTTATTTAGAGCCTTTAATCCCTCCAAATTAAGCTAGTTCTTGAGCTTAGCTCTTCAAATCTCCAATTCACCAAGTATATCTCCCAAGTTGAGTATTTTCTGTCTCTAATGCTCACTTCCCCCCCTCTCTCTCTCTCTCTCTCTCTCTCTCTATGGTGTATAACTTCAGAATTTTGAGCTCAAGAATGAGTTTAATTACAAGTAGAACATATATATATGCTTGACTAATCAAGATGGCTAATCAAGGTTTAGTGCTAATTAATTAGGCTCACTTAAATTAAATTAATCTAATTATTTTAATCCGAATTAATTTTTAATCAAATTTCACCGTAAACTCTAAAAATTATACTACTTTCAAAATACAGAATACCAAACAAATTTATCTACAATGGACAGATATAAATTCAAAAATGCATATAATCACATACTTAGCATCCAAATTCATATTAAGCATATAATCACAATTTTAATTAAAGATCAACAGCATAACACAGAACGGGGTTGTCACATGGTGTCAGTGGCGACAGAAGTAAAGAGAAGAGAGGAGAGAGAGAGAGAGAGAGAGAGGGGAGAGAGAAGAGAGATAAATGAGGAAAGAAAGTATGAATGAAGTAGGTGCCGGCTAGATTTGAGCAAAAGAAGAGGAAAATGAAGCCTCAAAGAAAAAGAAGAGTCGAGATCAGCGACGACAGAGGTGGTGGTGTCAGCAGTGACGGAGGTAAAGATGAGAGACAAGAGAGAGAAAGAGAGACAGAGAGAGAGAGACGATTGGTTTGTTTAGGGTTTAGTTTGGAAACTAAAATATATATATATATATATATACATATGGGTATTTTGGTCATTTCATATAGGCATATCCTTATGGACAAGGTATTTTGAGTGTGAACTTTTGACTAAACAAAATTTGAATTTGAATTTATAGACCAAATGCACTTTTAAATATATATATATATATTTTTTTTTTTTTTTGATCGTCAAAAAGAAACTTTATTGATGTAGAAATCAAAAACAAAGAACATCAAAAAAGAAAAGGGAAGTACAAAAGTATCATAATGAGCTAAATCATCCCAACAAGGTTGGCACCAAATAGCTCATCCAATCATTTACTAGCACCCCCAAAGTTGGTGAGAAACCAACGAGAAAACATACCAACAACCACTGTTCAGCAAGCAGACATAGGCAACATACCACAAGCAACATACCACAAGCATAACAGACCACACTAGCAGCGCCTAGCAGACCAACATATCAGATCCCTACCCAAGCATATCAGTCCAGCATCAACCATGTAGCCTGGCACAACCATGCAGCCTAAGCATCAGACCATCATCAACCAACAAGATTTGCAGCTTTAGTATAGCTGAACAGCCAAGAAGCAAACCACCTAAGCATATCAGTCCAGCACCAACCATGCCAATGCCAATGCTGATTCAGACACCATATCAGACCACTACAAAATGGACCAACATAAACAGACCACTAGACCATCACAGAGCACACCATCATAACAGACAACAAAATACACCAAAGGCCCTTACATCAGCAACCATGCTCATTCCACCCTCAACCATCTACACAACTTTCAAAGGACACTGCTCCCATATGAATAAGTCAACCAATTAAACAAACTGACATATGTATAGCTCAACCCCTATTCCTAACGCAATATTGAACCTGCAGTAGTATATAAGATTAAAAGCTTGATATGTTTCAATTAACTTGAGCCCCTTAAAAAACAAAAACAAAAAATTGAAACTATCATGTTGATGCCCATTTAATCATGTGGGAACAACATGCAAATAAAAAGTGAAAAAAATTACAAACACATAAGAGTGCAAGTATGTCTGTGGTGAGATGCAAATGAATGGATGTGAGGGTGCAACTCGTGTTAATAATTTTTTTCCCCCTTCTTTCACCTGTAGTTCCCCCTTTAATCATCAAAAAAATAAATAATTTGGTCAAAAATAATTTTTGAGTTCTCAATTTCGTATTTTCTTATTCTTAGTAAAATTTGTAAATATTTTGGTCAATTTTTTATATTATTTTAGATGCATCTAACTAGATGTATTAAAAGTAAAATATTTATAAACAAATCTATTTTAAAAATGGGTAAATTATCAATAGATCTTAATAATTGGATTTAATTCTTATCAAATCCTATTGAAAATAAATCCTAATAAATCCTAATAAAATAATTTTCTAACTAGATGTATTATTATGATGTTTATATATGTCGTTAAAACTTACAATTAGTGATATTTTTCTATGACAAATTTTTTAAACTGTCACTGAAAATTGAAAATTAGTAACATTTTTTGTGACTATTTTTAAATTGTCACTAAAACTTATAATTAGTGACATTTTTTGTAACAAAATTTTAAATTATCGCTAAAAAATAACAATTAGTGACGTTTTTTAATAGTGTTTAATGAAAAACGTCATTAATTATCGTAGAACCTATTAGATAATAAATCTACTTATTAGGACCTACACATAAGTCCCCCAAAAAAATTAATAAACATCAACAAAACAAAAATATACTAATTTTTTTAGTATTTAGTGAATTTTAAAAAATAATCATAAATTTCATTATTTTTAATAAAAATTTTCTTCAAAAGATTCCATTATATTCCTTTTTCTCTCAGGGAGATATTATCAAATAACAAAAAAAAACACTTAAGATTTGACTCTTATAACAAAATAAATCTTAAATTTTTTATTTTATCAATTTAAATTCTAATTTTTTAATATTTTCAATAAACTATTTGCCTATTTTTATTAATTAAAATTAACAATATATATATATATATATATTTTAACCATTAAACTCAACAAGAAAATATATATTTTTTAGACATTATGTACAACATTGATTTTAATAGCTAAAATACCTTTTTGCCATCAATTTATTTAACAAAAACAAACAAATAGTTTAGATTAAAAACAAATTAAAGATTAGTTTAAATTAACACAATTAAAGATTCAATGTTTATTTTGTTACAGATGCCGAACTTCAGGATTTTTTTTTATGTAATTTTCCCCTTTCTCTGTCCTCTATTTTTTATTTTCCTTTTTCCTTTTTCCTTAATAAAGCCGGTAAATTTAACTACCAATTCCATGCTAGCAGATGGCAAAACACTAGTGCTAATTTAAGTTTGTGCTTTTCATCACAGATAAAAGATCATGATCAAAAAAAGATGAATTATGCTTCTCTACTATATTAAAAATATATACAAATATGAGAAACAAGAGATTGTATAGCATGCATATTAACCCCCACCCAATAGAACTACAATGAGATACTGAAAGACTCCTTCCCTATCTGCAATCGTGAAACTGCATTTATATGATCCTCAATGCAGAGATTGATTATCCATGCTAATTGCCACGACAGATTGAATCATCCTTTTGAATAGCTACATAATTCACGGGTATCACAGTACCAACCTTACCACTGTCTCTCCGTTCCTTTCCACCTGAGATTCTATGGCGGGCTGAAGGAGTCCCCACACGACGGCCAATGGGAGTGTTAGCATTAGTGCTCTGAACAAGAGCCTTTTTAATTGTGGGCCTCGAACCATATATTGCCTCTTGTTCTGTTGCAAACTGTTCTTGCAGCCGTTTCTGCTCCTGTGAAGTTCAACCCAAAGAAAATGCATACATAAATAACTAATTAATGTTATTAACAAAGCTTTAAGTGCCTCTGCAGAGTAAACAATGAATGAAAGAATGGCCAGCAATGCTACACACAGGAACACATGCATATTCATGGTCAACTTCATTAGATGAAAATCAATATACCAACTTTGAAGAACTGTCAAATGGTCAATAAGAATGGAACCATTAGCAAATCAAAACCTAAGAACAGATGATCTTTAGCCACAGTACCTGAGAACCTAAGATGGGCTCTAAGAAGAGGAAAACGAAAATCGATAAATAGTTTATCTATAAGCATACCCGAGATCTACGTTTCTCCTCTTCTTTCTCCTGCCGTAGCACAATATACTCTTCCAACATATGCAATAATGGAGCCTGAAATCAACAAGCAGTCGAAGATTTGAAGCTGTCTTAAACTAAATTCAATATTTGATCAAACAAGTATTAAGTTGCACGTTCACCTTTTCATATAGAAATGGTATTCCTTTCTCTATCTCCCAGGCTTTTATTTTTGCAGTTAAATTCTCAACAAGAGCTACACAAAAATGGTTTTCTCAAGTCAATAAATGATTATTGAATTATTTAAAGAAACAAAAAATTCTTCAATACAGTAAAAAAAACATGGCAGAAAGGCATACGCCAATTCAGCCCATCAAACTCAGCTCTAACAAATACACGAATCATAAGTGAATTAAACCAAATAGAGAACACCACAGTAAATACGATTTTTTCAATTGATATAGTAAGCTTGATGTATTGTGTTGTATGAGTCTGTCTGATAGGGAATCAAGAAGAGAGAGAGAGAGAGAGAGAGAGAGAGAGAGAGAGAGAGGAACCCTAAGGTTCTAGAGAGGATATCTCTAATCAATCGATATCATATATCAAAGTTAGTTACAATTGATCTCTAATTCACTAGATGCATGCTACCCACTAACCATCCATCATATGTTAGGCACATGTCCTATATCACTGTCTTTTTCTCCTTGTTTGGCAAGTTACACACACAACACAGGGCTTTCAGTGTACAAAAGCATTTTGTTGCCAATGCTTAACTTCCATATATCAAGAAAAATTCCAGAATATATATTAGTCTGTATATTAGTAAAATTATAGAAATGCATATAGAGATTAGTATCCAACTAGAAAGTGAAAGATTGGGTCTAAGATCCTAAGCTTATAGAAGGCAGATGGAAAAGTTACCTTTGGCGTAACTCCTTGGATGTTATGTAAGGAGCTCAGGAGAAAGAGAAGAATGAGGCCCAAAAATAATAACTTGAGAGAAACAATGGTAAAGACAGTTCAATATTTCATCTTCTCAGTAATTAACCTATGTTCCTTTCTCAAAATTATACAAACTTGCTCAATGGAGGTCACAAAAATTAAAAGTTTTGTAAATTGCGCAGATGGTTCACCTCATTTCCCCCTAGCAGGCACCAACACTAAATCAGAATTACATCCAGGTAAAATTGTACCATGTAGAAGCAACATAAAGATTTAAATCCCCATGATTTGATTTCAATTCTCAAAAGCCACAACTCAATTCCTTTTCCAACTGTGAAGTTGAATATTTCTAGGGAAAGCTTTACCTTGTTTCAACTTCTGGAGATAATATGCTAGATGTGTCTACTCTCATATGAATGAGTACAAATGGTGTTGCGGACAAAAGCACTGCTACATGCTTAAGAGACTATCATTCCCACTGATAGGTTCAGCCTGGGTTGGACAATAAGACTGTAGTAACAGAAAGAGATTCTGAAAGAGAAGAAAAATGCATTTTCCAGTGTCCTAAATTCAATTATGAGAGAGCAAAGGGCAAGTACACCAACCCCACCCTGCAGTGCCTTAGGGAGGATTTATAAATCAATACAGAAACAAGATCGTTAGCACCAGCACTTGAAATATATATATATATCATTTGCCCTTCATCATTGCAAGGGATTTTAGACCAAATTCACTCCTCAGCTGATTATCCTCCATTTTCAATTTGGCTAAAGATTCAAATGCTTCACTTCTTTGAAGTTTTTTTTTTTTTTTTTTCTTCCTGCTCAACCAAACAGCACAACCACCAAAACTAAATAAAACTATAAACAATGATCCAAATGTACCACTCTTTGATCCCCATAAGTTTATTGGGAGTGCAAATGTGCCATTCAAAATAAAAGATCTTGCATTGACCATGGCTCACAAGAAACTTAATACTAATGAAATGATTCAGAAAAGAAAACCAAATTGCTATTTATATCTGCAATAGTGTGTCATGTGTAAAAGGGACAAGGAGAGTAATGATCACTTATTTTTTCATTGTCCTGTGGCATCGACACTAGGGTGGAGAGTGCTAGATTTTGCGAAGGTATATGGGGTGGTACCTTCTTGTGTATAGTTTTGCTTTGAATTTATGAGCATTGGTTCTAATATGAAGGCACAGGTTCTTTGGAGATGTGTAATTTGAGTGGCGCTTTGAATGATATTTGTTGGAGAGGAACTTAAGAATCTTTGAGGAAAAATCAAATATATGATAGCTTATGGGATAAAATTTGCTATTTGGCTTCCTTTTGGGCTTCGATATCTCCTAGTTTCCAAGGAATTCCTTTATTTTTTATTACTAGAGATTGGATAGCCATATGTGATGTATAATTTATTGGTTTCACTCTTGTCCTTTTGGTGGACTTCTTGTCCTCCACTCACGTTTTGTAACTCTCTTCTCTTTTTCAATAATGAAATATTCTCTTTGTTGATTATCACAAAAAAAAATAAAAAAAATAAAAAAATAAAAAGAAGAAGAAGAAATAAAAGTCTACTTGCCCCTTACTCGAGTCCATATTTTTATTAAAGAGTCGTTGGCAAATTCATTCCAAATATTGAGTCCATATTTTTATTATTGTCTTAATCGAGTCTCAAGCATGTTCCACATTAAAAATTCATGATAGAACACTTCAGCTACAAACTTTAATTCGACAAACAAACTCTATTCCTTTGTGAAGGTAAAATTCATGCATAACATTAACATCATTTAGAGAGTTTTATAGAGGTTATTCTATCCAGGCTTGTTCATAATGAGTTCATGACCTTAGATTATTTAGTTTTCAACCATAGGAAAAATTAACTAAAGGGCTTGATACAAATGAATGATGGTTACATTCTTACATGGTATTTTGGTGACCAAAATCCTTGCCTTCTCAGCGCGTTTCAAATTTTTATGTGCTCCTCTGCCAGCAATATACCTATTTTCATCCTACAAAAATGAGACACAAGTAATAATTCAACAGTAGAAAGATATCCAACAAAACAATCTTCTAAAAACAAAATCCAAAATGCACTAATTAACAGAATTGATAAAGAAAATGCCATTGAACTTCCATCAAACAAAACGTTAACCAGTACAGAAAACTCAAGTATTTTAATCAGTTGGGTCAAATAAGATATCAAAATAAATAAAGTATTAAAATGATGTTTCTTTTAACATATTAGCTCATCAGAACACAACCATTCTAAATTTTCTGATTTATTGGCTAAAATGTAAATCAACTATCAGTATGCAGATAGTTTAAACCAAGTTTTTTTTTAACATATCAACTCGTTAAAATACTTACGCTTGGTAACATCATGGTTGACTATTAGAGTGAACTATATCGAATTGTATCCATGGTCTACTATATTCAAAGGATATTAACAAAATAGTACCATCTGTAGAAAACAAGATACAACCACTGAATGCCTTTTAAGTACTATAAATTTCAATGATGAGGAAAAGGCTTTAGGTTTAACAAAGAAGTTACATCAATTCCAAATCACAAGTATAGATGCAAAATGTAATGCAATTTCAAATGGTCCTACAGAAGATGTTGCCTCATATTTTACACAGCATAGTATACATAATAGTGTAACAACATACATGGCAATTAATGTGTTTCAAATCCTTCAATTATCTTAATGCAAATCGAATTTATTACAAAGGAAAATTTTACTTTGCCCCCTTGTGGTTTGGCCCATGTGCAATTTACCCCCTATCATTTGGAAATAAGCACATAACCCACTTGTGGTTTGTGGACTAAGTGCACCATCCCATTAACAGTTTAAGAAAAAAGACTAAAATAACCTCGTACATAAGTAACCTCATTGCAAATCACAGACATCTTCATCATTTTTTTGGGAGAGGCAAAATTCACTTTAACCCCTTGTGTTTTACTCTCTGTGATTTACCCCCGTGACATTTGGAAATGAGCACATTAACCCCTTATATATTGGCACGTGTTTCACAGTTGCTGTTAACTTGGACAGAATGTTTGATGGTGCACTTTAGTCCACATACTATAAGAGCGTTACATGCTTATTTCCAAAACAATAGGAGAATAAACCACACGTGCCAAACCACAAGGGGGTGAAGTGAGGTTTTCCCTTAATATAAAATAGAAATGTAAAAGGGATTACTACTTCACTACATTTGTTGTGGAATAGGAAGAAGTGGAAGGACTGCATCATGATATCTTTTAGGAAAATAAAGCATCTTAATTCTACAACATAAGTGTGAGTGGCTCTGTATCTTGGCCCATGCCAATCTAAAAAAGGACCTGCTGATGTTTAAACTAAAATATGACACCAAATATATTGCCTGAAAATGGACTGGTTGATATCAGATAAGTTTCAAGGAACATACCAATAGACAAAATAAAAATAAGAATGCTTTAATCATATTTTGAGTAACTACAATAGTTTTGGCGAAGTTCATAATCAATGAAAAACAAGTACTCGTCCACTCTTGGATTGAATGCTTATAACATGATGATACATGAAAACATTTTCATCTCTAGGCATGTCTAATAGTGTAAAACTTAGGTTAAGATTAGTTTTTAGGGGATAACATTTCCCCTACTCTGGGGCCTTTGTTGAGGTGTGTCAGGTCTTGGACGTAAGTTTGATAGCCAATAAGGTGGTGGAGGAATATCAAAGTTTGAAGGAAGGTATCACAGACATGCTCTATATTTATCAGCTCAGATCAATGATGTCCACATTCCTTGCTCAGTTAAACTCCACTGAGAACTCTGATCGCAGCTAGAATTCCTAGGCGAAGTATACCATCTGCTATTCAGATTCCAAGATTTGACAATAGCATCAAGTTCACCCTCAGACATATTAAGCTTAATCTTAAGGTTAGTACAATTTGATCTTCAACTCTATTTCACATCATGGATGTCAGCTACCACATCATGGCGTCATAAGCACTGCATTGTTCCCTCCACATTCCATTTGAGTGTTAGGAACTTAGGGGCCACCTAATGGAAAAATCATCAAAATTACTGCTAAGCTGGACAGAAGTTCCTTTTGCAGAAATGAATTCTATAATGTATTTGCTCCTGATGGAAAAGATGACACTGCTAGGCCAGTTCGTACACCACTGTGATGTAGGACGAGTAGAGAGTACTTTCCTAGAAGTAGTGAGCCGGGATAAATATACTGGTAGCAGCAACCACAGGCTTATAGAGCTGGATTTAGTGGGATTTTGTGGCTGCAAAAAGTATTAAAATTATAGGAGTTTAAGAGTTTGTAAAAAGGTAGAATTTTGGGAATGAAAACACAAGTGTTTAGAGGCTGTTGGGTGGCTGTTCTAAGCACTATGAACAGTGTCTTGAATACTTTTGCAGGTTAGCTGCAATCCCGACTTGCAGCCACACACTAGCAGTGTGCAGGCCCCACTTTATTGGAGCTACAAAAATTATTTTGACTTATTTTGCCCACACTCATGCATTAAATCAATTATAAATTGCACTTTTATTGAAAAATAGTTAATTTCAAATGTTTATAAAAAAATTGGCAATTAAAAATTTGTTAAATGCATGAATGGTCACCTAACTTAATTTTGAAAATAATATTTTGGTTAAAGTTGAAACATTTTAAAAACTCAGGTTTATTTTTTAATATTAATTCAGTGTCTGTTGAAGTTTTAAGAGCATAAGTTTTAAGAGCATCATTGTATTAGAAATGTCACTGTTTCATCATTGGAAAACACCCGGGGATGCCGAAGTCCTAGGACTGGTCAAAATGGGTTGTCTACAGTAGTCATTGTCACAATTGAAACCTACAAAAAAAGGGTAAAATCCATCTTTCCACTAATAGCGACCATCTTTTCTGCTGTTTTCACTGTCCATCTACACCTTTAAAGCACTCTGGACATCTGACTTCACAGATTTACTCTTTTTTTATATAAAGAGAGCTCCTCTCCTCCATTAAGGCATGTTCGTGGAAAAAACACAAAAGTTACACAAAAACTAGATGCTAAAACCAGCTATATTTACTCCTAAGCATACCTAAAGGCTTTAGTTCCTTCCCTGTATTTACTTCCCACCCTAGCTAGCTTCCAAGCCTCTCTTTTAAGCCCAAATGTAGCTCTTACATTCAATTTTCTTCTTTGCAACCACACTACCACTCTCCACCAATAACTCCAATTGTATAACAGCCCCCATCTCGACTAATTTACGTTAGTTTTTCCTTCAATCAACGATTTTTAGTAAAAACCAGTATATTATTACTCATGCGGGATTTAAGAGTTCGAAAGGTTCATATACACTGTTGGTCTTGTTTCCTAACAGCTGAACTTTTGTGACAAATGGTGATCTAATATGGAATCAAAGCTCAGGTTAGTTGAGGTCTTGGGTTCAAGTCTCTCTATTTGCATTTGGTTCCCATTTGCATTTTTTTCTTCTTTCATTTGCATTCTTTCCTCTCTGTATGTATAAAGAGAAATAGAGAATTGTATTATTGATTGATTTATATCTATTTGCATTTGGTTCCCATTTGCATTTTTTTCTTCTTTCATTTGCATTCTTTCCTCTCTGTATGGATATTTGCATCTCTACATGTAAGACATGGTTGCACGTGAGCTAAACTTTTAGGACAAGTAGTGATCTAAAACTGAGCTGTCTCTCTCTCTCTCTCTCTTCCCTACAGCTTGGTCCAGAAAAGTGGATTTCACAGCTTTTTTCAGTTCATTCAAACCTATTATAGCAGAAAACAACCCACTCATCAAGCCCAACGATACAACGAGCATGCCCTTGGGTCAGCACAATGTCTTGAGATTACAATTCAATGAACCTACATTTCCAAAGGACCCACATACAAAGTTGTACAAGCCGACAGCCCAAGCCCAAAAACCGTACCCTCACAAAAAATGTTCATGAAAAATGGAGTTTATTGTTCTCTTATCAGTTTAAAGCAAGAGAAATAAAAATAAAAATAAAAAAGTGAAAGGAAAACAACAATAATTCATAATTGCAAGAACACCACTACCACAACAATCTGGAAGAAAGTTCTGTATAATAATTCTGTTTTCCCTTGCATTTTCCTTCTACAATACTAAAATGTGGAAACTAAAGGGTAAAATGAACAAAAAGAATGGAGAATGGCAAACAAAACCAATATGCACCAAAGTGCATAATAGAAGTTTAACACCAAGATAACTTATTATACCACCAAAACAAAACAAAAAGAAACCAATCCACTATGAATAAAGCAACAAGTCATTTGGAAACAATTAAGCAACATGCCATTCATCTTGCCAACATAAAACCATTATTTTAGGAATAACACTAAACAAACTGTAACGGTGAAAATATACATGTGTAACCATTTGACAACCTGAAATGAAGACCAAGGCCTCATTTGGCAACTTTTAGTTTTATCCAAGGGGTCGCTATAAATTGTCACATCACTCTCTTTACTGTTTTGTACATCATTTCGTAAAAAGTCAAAGCCACTAAAATAGCCAATTCCCAAACGAGCCTTAAATGAGCCAAAATTTTGCAAAAAGAAATCTATCACCCATACATTAAACAGCAAACAAGACCATCAAGCACAAAACAATTCATATAATTTATAGATAAAATTACCCTTTCATATTCATCAAGCCAGTTCTCCTCCTCAGATGCATGTTTCCATTTCTCCACCTTGTCTAAAATATCCTTCCTGCTAAGAGCTTGCTCTTTAGCTTTCGCAATTTGATCATCCATGCTCAAAAGAAGATCAGACAGATCAACATTACCTGTACAGACATATAAAGACATAAAAACTACTTAAATTCTTTGTGCCTTCCAAAAGTCAAAAGGAGGGAGGTGGTAAACTACATCTTTGGGTGTTCTATGGACTATTTAGAGAGAATGTAATATGAAATTTTTTTAGGCTACTAAGAGCATGTTTGGTATTGTTTTCGTTTTCATTTCATGTTTCCTGTTCTATAAAACAGAAAAAAACAAGAACTGATATGGAAAACTTCGTTAGGAAAACATTTTTTTAACTGTTTGGTAAATTTTTTTAAATTGTTTTTGTACAAAAATGAAAATGATATGAACAGTGTTACTGAATCATGAAATGAATCGTGTATCGTTATAGAACTTCTATATATTGTGTATCATATCGTGTGTTGTAATTTGTAAGATACATAATTATATATGAATATAGATAAAAAAGAAATATGCATCTTTCTATAATATACAAATATATTGCAAGGATAAAGTACCAAACATGGAAAAATTATCTTTAAAATTACAAATTGATCAATAAGTGTCAGTTATAGTGATTGACGAAAAAAGCTGTTAATGGGACCAAAGTTGAAAAAGGTAAATTATTTAATTGTACAATACACGCTGAATCACGATACAATATGAAATCGTATGCTACGGAAACATATCTCACGATTCAAGAAACCAACAATACAAGTCTATGATTCATATCTTTTTTTCATATAATAAGATACGTATCAAAAAACGGGTATTTTTTAACATGTTTTGTTTCTGTTTGCAAATACACGAAAAACATAAACGGGAAACTTTCTCTGTGTAGTTTGAAAAAGTTTCCTCTTCTTACTCTATTGTTTAGGTTGAGAGAGAAGTTTCTTCTTGCTGTTTCTTCTTATATCTAATGATTTTGGCCTTTTTGTTCAGGGTCCTCCCCTTTAAGGCACACTTTGCTAATATACTCTTATTAAAAGGCATGAAAATATATATATTTTAAGAAAAAATCTTTGCACCAGTTTAGCCATTGAAGACAGCATATGCTAAGTATCATCTCCACACAGTTCTTATTTAGGGAAAAATATAAAATGAAAGATCAAAATTTTATTTTTAATCACCAAGTAGTTGCAGCAAGTGCAAGAAAGTAGACCTCAGAAATGTAAAGAGAAGAGGATAGCACACAAATGTCAATGCACACAGTAGGGCAAGGGAAAGTTGGAGAGACAATCAATGTTAAATGGACTCTTTTGAATTAAGTACCCACATTGGACACCCAAACAGTCGGAAAAGGGCATAAGATATATATCCACCACGTCAAGGTGAACTTATGCTAAGCGAGCAGGTCGAGCAAATTGATTTTTACAGCATAATTGACTTGAAACTCCCTTGCTAGGTTACTCACATCACATCACATATTTGCCTCAAATATTAGTTAAGTGCCCATGCCTTGGGCTCAAGAATTAGACAAATTTGATAGTTTGGTTTTGATCTATGAAACATGGATATAGAATATAGATACAAATACGGGATACAGAATCAATACAAGTATAAGTACGACCAGAATACAAAATACAGATACGAGAAAACCTAAACAATAGGATGAGTATGACTAGGATAAGTTCATTATTAAAAAATATATATAATTTAAAGTATTGTATTATACATAAGCTCAAAAAATAGTGGGAAACTAAGAAGCACAGACACAAACGTGCAAACACAACGACACAACAATTTTCAAAACATGCAGGACACAACATGAGGGTTACCCCGCAAAATGTATAGTTTTTTTATATTTATTATATGTTATATATAGATATAAATACTTCATTCAAAGATAATAAACAGATACATTGTAACTTAATTCCTAAAGTTTAACAAAGGTGGGATTAATAAGTAAAAATATACATCCTTTTCAATTATCATTGGATCCTAAATTATTTTATTGCAATGTGTTTCGTGTGTGCTTAAGCAATGGACATGTGTGTTGAAGTGTGTTCGAGTCTAAATGTTTTAAAAAAATAATAGGACATGTTTGGAGGTGTATCAAACAAGTGTTGCGAAGTGTCTGACGACCGATACAGACATGCCACCTGCTTGTATAAGTGTTCGTGCTTCTTGGGTGAGAAAAAACCATTATTTCGGAATTAGGTATTAGTTTAAGAGCCTGCAGTCAAATTACTTTTTAAATTTCAGCAGGTCCTATAAAAATATCTTTCAATATCAAATCTAAATTATTTATATTGTCAATCTGTTATTCCTTTCCACACTTAAAGTGTTATATGCAGAAGTATTGTGCACATGTTTTACTCACTTAATTGTTGAAATTCAATTTTAATACCATTATTTTTTTTATTTATCCTTGCCATAAAATAGGGATACAAATATGGGACACATCACATGTATGACACATTAATATATGTCAATTCAATAAATTAAAAGTAATGTACTGCTTTAATCTCACTATTTTCTTCTTCTCTAAGAAATAAGAAAAATACTGAAAAACTATTCTTGCATTCTAAAAAGCACGGACACTTCTAAGAAGGTATATTCGTGTCGTATTTGTGTCAGATAGACACCGACACTAGTTGAACACTTCCCAACACGTGTCCGACATTCGTCAAAACGTATCTTATTTTTTTAAAAGTTTTTAGATCCGGACACTTGGAGGACACACATGTCCATTACTTAAACACACGCATCCTACACACATGAACTAATTATATGTTTGAACTAAATAACTTAAGATACAATAATAAACGAAAAAACAATGTAGATTAATAAAATAAGTGTAATATAACATTTTTTATTATCTTTGAATAATATATTCAAATATATGATATATAATAAATATATAAAATTATATATTCCATGCGTGTCCCCCACATGTTGTGTCCTGTATGTTTTTAAAATTGACATGTCGACGTGTTTGTGTCATATCCATGTCGTGTCAACATCCATGTCTATGCTTCTTAGCTTGTGTTTATCCTAACAACAATAGTAACATTACGTAAAATTATTACAATTTCAATTTCATAAAAGTTCAAATATGTGAGACATGCAGTATCTAAAAATATATGTGATACTTATCAAAATTAAAGAAATTTTCTTCAAATTATGGAAAATTGTTATGTATCCACAAGTCTCCAAGCAGTATTATAACCAAGACGTATACAGCACCCTTCTAATAAGTTCTTTGAGAAGAATGCAATTAGAGATAATAATTTAATGACAAAGTTTTGAAACACATAATAATCTTAATAATTTAATGAGAAAATTTTGAAACAGGTAATAATCTTTCTTATTTCTATTCATTTATTCCCTCTTATGTTACAACAAATTGTATGTGTGCCTTGGGTGATCCGCCTGGGTATGCTTAAGTATCAAAAGAATTGCAAGTGACAAGCATTGAAAATATCAGATCTAAACCTTAAAAAAAGAAAAAAGGAAAAGAATCTGTGTTGAGAAAACAACATGCAAATTAAATTCTTCATCAACTTGATAAAGACAGAAGGTGAATTGAACCAGAATTCATGAGGCTGATGAGAATCTGTCGTGCTGTGTCGCTGTCTACATCCATATGAACTCCTCTGTAGATTTCTTCAAGCTTGTTTTGCCTCTTGAATACCAGTTCCTTCATCTTGCTGGCTTTTAGAACATTCAAATGTTCAATTTCAACTTCAGTCTAGAAATAAGAGAATATATTAATGGTAAGCCACAGAAAAATTATAACTTATTAACAACACATTTCAAAATATAAGTGAAATAAAATAGAAATTATCACCTGCTCAATGACATCCAAACTAAGGGATCCTGGCTTTGACACCTCGTCAACAGATGAAGTAATTAAGCAAGTGACATGGTCGAACCTCTTTTGTTCCTCAACAGATGTGTCCATGAGACTCCAAAGCTCTATAAGAGTTCTCCCAAAATCTTGAAGCTACAATTCAAGAAAGAAGTTGCATAAAGGATAGCCAAAAGGAAGAAGGATGAAAAACTAAGAGATTTGAGAGTACTGATTGAATGGAATAACATGGTATTAGTCAACAGTTTATGAACCTAGATTTGAATCATCAACTCATCTAAAAGCTTAAGCCGTTAGAGAGGGGTAACTTTATTATTTATATCCACATAATGTCCCCTCACATGTGGACAGGCTCTCATCTAGAAGCAGGCCAAACACATACAACTATTACAATTATTAGGTAGGCGGTGAGTGTAAGTTTTTTGAATGAAACTGTATATTAGACTGAATTAATTAAACAAAGAATACATCACTTATATAGAACTCCAATTCCTAAACCTAAACGAATACATCACTGATATAAAACTCTAATTCCTAAGCCTAAAAGGAAAAAGAAGAAACTGAATATACGCAATATTCTCACACCCCTGCTCAAACTCAAGGTGTTTTAGTAGAAAACACTGAGAATTTGTCAAGAAGAAACTGAAACCAAAACCGAAACCGAAACCGAGCAGTGGTGTGAGTCTTGGTGAAAAAGTCAGCAAGTTGCAGAGTCGAAGAGACAAAAGGAAGCGAGATAAAACCAAATTGCAGATGCTAACGGACAAAGTGCCAATCAATCTCAATGTGCTTTGTCCGTTCATGGAAGACAATGTTATGAGCAATTTCAATAGCACTTCGGTTGTCACTATAGAGAGAGGTCGGGGAAAATTGAGGGATGCCCAAGTCAAATAAGAGACCACGAAGCAAGACAATTTCAACAGTAACATAAGTCATAGCACGATACTCAACTTCGGCAGTAGAACGGGCAACAACAGTTTGTTTATTGCTTTTCCAAGAAATCAAGAAATCGCCAAGAAACATACAAAAACTAGAAGTAGATTTACGATCATTAACACCACCAGCCCAATCAGCATCAGCATAGGCCACCAAATCTAAGAGGAAGAAGTAGAAGAGAACAGCAAGCCCTGAAAGATAGTACTGCGAAGATAGCGAACAATCCGAATCAAAGCAACCCAATGTGTAGAGCGAGAAGCAGAAACAAACTAACTAACCACATAGACAACATAGACAAGATCAAGGCGAATAACTGTCAGATAAACTAAGCAACTCACAAATTCACAATATAACGTAGGATTGTCCAGAGGAACACCATCAGTAGTGTTGAGCTTCACATTAAGCTCAATGGGGGTATCAAAAAATTTAGTGTCAATAAAACCGACACAATGGATAACCTTGTTAGCATACTTAGCCTGGGACAGAAAGTAACCCTTAGGAGAAGAAGCCACCTTAATACCAAGAAAATACTACAATGATCCCGAATCTTTCATTTTGAAAGTGCGAAAGAGATGCTGCTTGACCTCAGAGATAGCAGAAGAGTCAAAGCCAATGATGATCATGTCATCCACATATAATAATAAGGCAACAAAACCAGTAGAGGTGTGGAGGAGAAACAATGCAGAGTCGTGGACACAAGGATGAAATCCAAGCGTAGTAATAACTGTTTGAAAGCAATCATACCAAGCACGAGGAGATTGCTTCAAACCATACAGTGCACGACGAAGATGACAAACCTAACCAGAGGAATGGTGAAGGCCAGGGGGAGGACGCATGTAAATCTTCTCAATGAGATGGCCATTAAGAAAAGCATTCTTAATATTCCTCTGATAAAGAGGCCAATGACGAACAGCTGCAACAGTGATCAAAGTACAGACAGTAATCATCTTAGTAACAGGAGCAAAAGTCTCCTCATAATCAATACCATATTCTCATAAGAAACCTTTGACAACCAAACGGGCTTTATAGTGCTCAAGGGAACCATCAGAATGAATCTTGACTTTACAGACCCATTTGCAACCAATAATATTCTTGCCAGCAGGCAGAGGAACCAACTCCCAAGTATTAGTTTTTTGTAATGCAAACAACTCATCCTCCATAGCTTGAATCCAATATGGATCCTAACAGGTCTCCTTCTAAGATTGAGGTTTTGAAAAAGAGTAAATAGCAGACAAAACCGTACAATGTGAAAGAGAAAAACATGATTTAGCAAAACTAAGTTTGACTACCTATTTACAAACGCAAAGGGGATACTTACAGTTAACCAGATCAGGGTCGGCAAAAGCAGGGACAGAGACAACTGGTGGAGGGAGAGCCTTGCAACGAGAATAAACTAACAACGAGAGAGGAGGAAACAGACTCATGGAGTACAGTGGAGAGGAACTCGACAGAAGGTGTAGTAGGAGGAGAAGAAGGAACAAGTTCACAGAAAACAGTAGAGATGTACTCATCAGGAGGGACTTCAGAAAGAAATGGATCAATATTAACCAAATCTTCTTTAGAAATCGGAGCAGTAAGAGGAGGAAGCTAAAAGTAAGCTAGACGCTCCAGGAAGACAACATGGCAAGAGACATAAAGGCAGCAGGAAACAAGATCATAACATCAATAGCCTTTTTAAGTAAGACTGTACCCCAAAAAGACACAGGACAGACCGGGCACTAAGTTTTGTCCTATCTTTCCGAGGAAGAAGGACAAAACATGCAGACCCAAAAACACGAAGGAGAGAGTAATTAGGGAGTTGAAAAAATAGGGCCTCATAAGGAGAACGACCAGAGAGTAAGGAGGTAGGCATACGGTTGAAAAGAAAAGCAACTGTAAGAATGGCTTCCCCCCCCAAAGGGAACAGGAACAGAGACAAATATGAGAAATCTAGCTGTCTCAAGGAGATGACAGTGTTTACACTCAACATGACCATTTTGGGCAGGTGTGTTAGTATAGAAAGTTTGGCAAATAGTACCCAATTTAGCTAGATACTCATAGAACTCAGTTTTAAAATACTCCCCACCTAAGTCAGACCGTAACAATTTAATGGTAGACACAAACTGCGTAGTGATCACAAACTGAAAGTTATGGTATATTTGATAAAAGTTAGATTTATGAGTCATAAGATAAACCCAAGTATAGCGGGTGCAATCATCAACAAAAGACACATTATGCAAAACCCCCTTTAGTAAAAACAGGAGAGAGTCCCCAGACACCAGTATGCACAAGAGCAAAAGGAGAAACTGAAATAGACGTACTTTTATGAAATGGTAAAGTTGACATTTTGGCAAGTTTACACCCCCAACATTCATCAATTTGACTAGAAGAAACTTTACCCATCAACCCTGACTGAGCTAACGACCGTAAGCGGTCAACAGACAAATGACCGAGGCAAGAATGCCATAAGTAAAATTGACTCGACTGAGAATCTAATTGAAACGAGAAAAGTGTAGCTGGAGAGATGGATAAGGGAAGATGCAAGCTTTCTATCCCATAGAGATCTCCAACTCTACAGTCGATCCTAATCTGCTTCTTGGACACTCGATCCTACACACAACAAACAGAAAAAGAAAAGATAACATCAAAACCAGAAGCATCAAGTTGACTAATAGATAATAAACTGATAGATAGCTGGAGACATAAAGAACAGAGGGAATAGTAACAGCAGACATGGCAGAGAGTAAGATAGACCCAATAGACAGAACAGACATACCAAACCATTAGCAATATTAATAGTAATAGGAACGGATGGGGGAATACAGTTGTGAAGTAAGGAAATGTGAGGAGTCATATGATGAGAGGCACCAGAGTCAAAAAGCTAGATAGAAGAAGGCACACCTAAAGAGGATCCAAGCAAACCTGAATGAAGAGAGGTAAGAGCGGAGGCACATGGGGATGGCTGAGAGGTGGACAGGATATGCTAAAGTTGTGTAATCTGAGCACTCAAGGAAGCCAAGTCAGGATCGAAGCTGGAGCAGATGCAGTATAAGCAGCAAGAGATTGGAAAGTACTCGGAGTAGGACCGCAGAACTGTGCCTAAGAAGACGGAGCAGGCTGACGTCCCTTCTTGGGACCGTTGTTCTTCCAGTGACCCCTCTGATGGCAGAAAGCACATTCATCTGGACCTAATGGTCCTTTCTTGGGTTTTGCAGTGGCTTGAAGCTGATGAGGAGGTGGAGTCGATAATAAAGGAGACTCAGGAGGAGCCAAGAAAAAAGAAGGAGACAGAGTCTGACTGGTCGTCTTAAGACGGGTTTCCTCGAAGAGGATCTCACGAACAACAGCATCCACAGAGAGAAGAGGAGACCGATGATGGATGCCACCTTGGATAGCCTCATATTAAAGGGAGGGAGCCGTTGAACTGCACTAAACGACCCTGCTCCCGAAACTTAATATAAGCATCTAGTATCTTCTGACTAGGTGATTCCATAAGCACCAACTGATCCCAAAGACCTGTCATCTCAATATAGAAGTCCTGAATAGGCTGTTCCCGTTGACGAGCACTCTGAATAGTTGTTTCCAACTCATACCGCCTGGCAAAGTTAGACTGTTGATAAACAATGTATAAGTAATCCCACACCTCTTTGGCAGTGTTGTATTTAAAGAACATCATCCCGATACGATTATCTACAAAATTATGAAACCAAGTCAAAACTTGGGCATTATCACAATCTCAAATGTCACAGGAAGTCCATTGACAAGGAACAAAACCAAAAACATATCCCCATTTTTTTCAACCGAGAAGAAAATTTTTCATAACACTAGACCGATAAGGATAGTTGTCACCAGTAAGTTTGCATTTAATAGCCTGAATTTTATCTTCCGACATTGTGATGAACCAGAAGGAAAAGAGAAGGGAACTGATGGGGCAAAGTGTGATAACCATCAAAAATAAATAATCTAAGGGGTCAAAGTAGAATAAATAAAAATTGGAGAGCTAATTGACAATATATCAGTAACCTAGTGTTTAGTAGAGAGAACCAGACTTAAACAAGTGAGAGAGTGAGACAAAGAGACAACAAACCAGAGCAGACAATAAGAGACAAGGCGACAAGGCAACTAAATGTTGTAATGACCCAACCTCGCAAGTCGAGAGATGGCAACGGCCCAACTTCATGAGTCCAGCGACAGCCTGATGTCGGGATTTCGAAACCAGG